TTTATTTTTTTTTCCTCATTCACGTATTGTCTTATGTTTTGTCTTGCACTTCCCCTCCCATGAATTGTAAGCCACCCTGAGGCCCCTCAGGGAAAAGGGCGGCCTATAAATCACAAATAAAATCTAAATCTAAATTTAAAAAAAGTTAGTGACACAGTTGTTAAGTGAATCTGATTTCCCCATTGACTTTGTTTATCAAAGGGTGATCATATGACCCTAAGACACTGTAACTGTGATAAATATGAGTCATTTGCTGAGAGTCTGAATTTTGATCATGCTGCCATGTGGTCCTAAGTGGGAAAAATGGTCATGTCACTTTTTTCAGTCATTGTAACTTTGAGCAATCACTATTGTAAGTTGAGGATTGCCTCTACTACTTTTAGTCAAGATATTACTCTTACATTTAATGATTATCCTGTTAGAAATTATATTTTAATTCCATAGCTATGGAATTAAATGATTTGTAAATCCATTTAAAATGCATTCTGAAGGTAGCACTTTGTTTCTCATTCACTTTGAAGACATTTCTATCCTTATTCCTGTTTTATCTTTATTATGCAATTATGTTATTGCAGCTTGTAAATGGACAGGTTTCACATAACAGGAGTGATGGTTTAAAGCAAAGAGACCAACTGTCAGATGACATTATTATTTATGACATCACTGATGAAAGTGGGGATGAAGAAAAGGCACCTGTTACTCCAGAAACCAGTGAAGATACGGTTTCAGATTCAAAGTAAGAAACATTAATATGTGTAATAATCATAATAGCAATTTTGGGCAATCTTGCATTGTTGCCTGCAGTTTTAATTCTATAGATAAGTTAGCAGAATCAAAATATTTTCATTAAGATAGTAGTGCTTAGATCTGGCAAGACCTGGTTCAGATTGTATCACCATAAGGACTAGTAGCAAATAACTATAGTAAAATTATTAATAATCCTGGCTTGCTTTAAAAAGCTAATTTAGAGCAGCTGTTTGGGGGAGGGGGTTAAAAGCAAAAGTTCTAAATGTATAATAAATGTAGTGTTGCAAATACTTTGTGGATTTAGGGAAATGGATTGTGATTTGTTTTTTTTTAAAGCCTATGCAAATATACACTAGTTAAATTTTAAAATACATTATTCAGCTTAAGAACATGTGCATGTGGAATGTGTAGGATTCTGTTGTGTAAATCTCTTGTCCCCCCTTCTTTTACCCCGCCCACAAAAGTTATTGAACTTCTAATTATTCAAAGGGAAATACAGAAATGCTGTCTGAGCAAAGCTGAAGAAAATGGTTTCAGAGTTTTGCTTCCAATCAAATTACAAAAGAAAGGCTTTCTTTTCGTTAATCTTACATTTGCATTGCAGCTATAGCCCTGACATTGTAATAGTAGAAGATGATAATGAGGATGAATATACACCTATAATTCAAGAAAATACAAACACTGAACCAGTTGGTATTTCCTGTGATGAATCGATGAGTCCTTCCTCTAATGGTGGAAACCCATTAATGTCTAGTGCTGTTCAGTTAAACAACCAATCGACTTTAACAGCAGAGGATCCAGTGTCAATGATGGATTCTATTCTTAGTGAAAATGGAGTGATCTCACAAAATATCAACCTTTTGGGAAAGTAAGTCGTGCATTACTTTCTCATGTTATTTTTAACTTTAAAATTTATGTACCATCTTATTCTCTTCCTCTTTTAACTGCACATGCATTTTACATTGCACATGTTTTAAATGTGCTGATTAGCTGTTTTTCTGTTAGGAACAGGAGATTCCACTATGCTTATTGTAGAATATTGAATTTTGAATTCAGTGGTTTTAGAGTAATTGGGTGCTTATTTGAACCCACAATAACACATGTACTCTAAGTCTTTAAATTCCTAAATAAGTTGGTTTTTCTGTCAAATCAATTTCCATGGGCAATGTGTGTCTCCATTCTTGATAAATATTAAGGATCACTTACAGATGAATTTCAGATAGCCTATGTGGTTGTATTCAGGACTTTATGTAATTGTATTTTATGTTGCTGTCCTTGGATTTCATACTTTGTACCAGCTGACACCCTTCATAGAGAAAAATACTCAAATATTTTTACAGTACATGAAAAAGAAGAGTGTATTTTTCTTGATTTTATTTTAGAAGTCCAAAGTGGCAAGCAGGGAACAGGTTACTGCTCAAAAAACTAGAGGGTATTCTTTTTCCCTTAGGGTGGAACTCCTGGATTACCTTGAGAGCATTGATTGCAGTTTAGAGGACTTTCAGGCCATGCTGTCAGGACGGCAGTTCAGCATAGATCCAGATCTTCTGGTGGATGTAAATATTTGCTTTAATTTTACAAACCTGTTTTCTCTTTTAAAATATTTCATCAAGGTGCTATATTAATGGCAATTGCAAACTTTAAAGTTTCAGAAAAAAACAAAAAAAATGTTCAGAGTATTTTTCTGAAGAATATTTTTTAATGTTGATATGTTCATAAACAAAACATTGGTGCAGTTTAAAAATAGCCAACTTTATTTTTTATAATCTTCTTTTTAAAATGTGACATTTTGATTTTTTTCAGCTTTTTTCAAGTTCCGTACAGATGAACCCTACAAGTCATATCAGTAGTACAAAAGTAAGTTTTATATTGGCATATCAATGAAATGTATTAAAACATCACATGTTCATATTTTTAAAACTCTGAATTTTAGCAAGGTCATAATTTAAGGCTAGTTCTATTTGTTTGAATTGTCATGCTTTCTAGTATTGAACTCACCCTCTTTTCACAGCTTACTAGTTTCCATGTTTTGTTTCTTATCTAGTACATCCTTACAGGAATGCACTATAATTTCATATTAGTGCTTTTAGAACAATCAAAATATGGATGTTTGTAAAATGGGGAAATTATTTTGGTTTGAACCTGCAACAAGTTTGCTAAACAATTTCCGGGGGGGGGGGCAGTTTAGCAATACTGAAAACTTGGAATATGGTTGAGGTTTCAAGCTTCAGATGAAACAAAATCTGGATAGGAAAATTGGGCAAAGTTCCTTTCCCTGCATCTTTCCTTAACTGTTCCCAAGTGTGCAAATCCCACCAGCCTTCTTTCCCCCCATTTTTTCAGGATCTTTTTTTTCTTTTCCCTCCCTTCAAGTCACAACATATTCCACTGACTGATCCATATCTCCTAACCTTCCAATAACTTTCCTTTTCTCCTTGCCTTTCCTCATCTGCTGACATCTTGGCCTTTTCCATCCTCAGTCCTTTCAACCATTTCTGCCAATATCAAAACAGCTCCATTTTGTTCCATGGGTGTATTGAAATATACCAAATATGTATGTTTTGGTTCACGACCAAACCTTCCAAAAGGAGCTGATCTGAGCACCAAATGCTTTCCACATACTATTGTAAAATATGTATGCGGTAGTAATGATATTACAATTTTTATATTACAGTATTAATGTCCCCAGTCTCATTTTCATATATGTAGAGAAAATACAAATAAAGGTTTCTAAAGTTCCAAAAAATTACTTCATGGTACATGGCAAAATATTAGCTTGTGTTTTTCTGAATACTATTATTGTTTGTTCTGGTGATAGCATCTCACATGTTTTTAAATACTGCTGCAGAATAGTTCTCTGTTAATTACAGTAACCGAGACTGAAATTTCCATCACTAGGCAATGCAGTCATAAAGCACAATGTCATATGACATCGCTTAGCTATGGTGGTTCTGGTAATCCCCTTGCCTTCATTAAGTGAGAATCCTGGGCTTTTAAGCAAGAACCTCCTTGCAACTTTCTCCTGGCTTCCAACCAACAAGTCAGTGGCTTTCAAGTAGGGCAGTGTGCAACTAAGTAACTGCTATGACCAAACACAAATACAGCTTGGCCGAGAAGAGGGGGCTGCCACCAGGGGCCGAAGAGCCCACTTGCATCCTTACACTGCATTGCCCTTGCCATCCCCAATTCACTTTTGCTGTCTTCTTTCTCCCCTCACAAGGCAGATGCTGGCTATATGTGACTTCAGGAAGGCTGCATGTGGCCTTCGGAAAAAGCATCACGTGGCCAGCACCTGCCTCACAAAGAGCCAGACTGGCACACTCATCAGCAGTGAAGGAAATGGCAAAGGTCAGCTGGGAATAGCAGAGCACAGGGAGGCAGGGACGGTGAAATGCAGGACAGGTATAAGGGTAGAAATGGGAGTGGGGAGATAGATGGGCTTGGGGAAATTTAAGTGCACCTTGCAGTTATAAATGCAGATAGATTACCAAGCACCTAGATTATGATCATGTGATCACAGAGCCCTTACATCATAACTTCCAGATCCAGGTGAAAGTACCATTTGTCCAATGACATTGTAACTTTGATCATAGAACAAAAGATTATTACTTGTATTTTATTATGATAGGCTCTGTTCCGTAGTATAACATTTTCTTCATCTCATCTTTTATACAGATGGAAGCAAAGGGAATTGAAACAATGAAAAGTAATAGTCCACAAGAAGACTCACAAAATGTGCCTAATTCAAACCCTGAAACAGGTGAATTTTTCATACTGTAAAATTGTTTGCTACTCCAGTATTCACAATTTATGGAAATTATTTTTTAGATACGATTAAGATGCAATAAATGCATACCTGTAATCCTCTACAGTATATTGAACGAGTTCTATTTTTTTCACTTTCATTTTGTAAAAATACATAAATTGTTTTTGTGTAAAATAATGCCTTTGTTTGACTTGTTTTCTTCTACTATAGATAAACAGCTCATTCAATATACTGCTTTCCCTCTCCTTGCACTGTTTGATGGAAACCCAAGCACAGCAACAGAGAGTACACAAGAAACCACATCTTCTGTAGATAAATCAATAGAAGTGGATGAACTCCTCGAAAGTAGTTTGGATCCTCAACCAACCCAAAGTAAACTTGTTCGTCTGGAACCTCTAACAGAAGCAGAAGCCAGTGAAGCTACCTTATTTTATTTGTGTGAACTTGCTCCTGTGCCAATGGACACTGATATGCCATTGTTGAACAACTAACCCAATATGTTACAATAAGACAAACTATTTATTTAGATTGTGTTGGGGGGTGGTGGTGTCTATCTTTTGTAAACATTTTTTTGTGAAAACAGCTAATGGGGACTTGAAAAGATTCTATTGCTTCTACAAAATCAGAGCAGTTTATAAATATTTACACAAAATAACAATTCACACACACTAATTCATTATATTCTAGTGCCGTTGTACTTTGAAGTACCAACTATCTTCTGAATACGTATAATCAGATGCTCTGTATTAACCACTATAGTATCTCTTGTTCACTTTTGGTCCTAATGTATGACTGATGCATATTATTTTTTTTTACTTTTTGATGGAGGTTATAGATTTCCAAGTTCTATTCATTATTTTTTTATTTTTACAACCTTGTTTAAATAAAACTGTTAGGGGGACGAGAACTTAATGTAATATGTCACTTAACTTCATATCTTTTATTTAAGCATTATGTATATTTTAGGGATGCTAGAATACAAAGGAAAGAGATTGGGGAAAGAGAATGACTGATTCCCAGAGTGGGTTAACCTTTTCAACAGAAAGGAGTTCTGCATGAAGATACTTCTGGTTGTAGGATAGAGGATCAACCTAGTCTAAAAAAATAGATTTTAACCTCAGCTGTACCAATATCTATATCATAAGTGAAAGCCATTTCTTAGTGGATCATCTTCCCATTTCATTAAAGCCCTGCTACTGGAAAGTTTGAGCCACTATCATGAGGCAGGTGTCGGGGCGTGAATGGCCTGAATTCGGGGGCCCTAAGGTAAGCCAGTGCGTGGGGCAGCTCCACTGCCTCTGCCTTGAGCGATGGCACTAGTGCACCATGTGGCTGCCTGCACCACCATGAGCAAGCAGAAGTGGGTCTCCCATGTACTGGTATTATTAAACTACATGGGAGGTGGAAATAAAGACACCCCCAGAAAATAAGCCCCAGTGCTTATTTTGGGACACAAAATAAGCCCCAGTGCTTATTTTGGGACACAAAATAAGACCCAGGTCTTATTTTGGGGAAAACACGGTAGCGAGGTACTTGGCACACTCTCCACTAAATAAACTATGATTGCAGTGAATTCCTTATGTACGCAGTGAGGACAGTTGTGCTTGTTATACAGAAGGAGCAATCAATGCAATTTAGTTTTTATGCCCCTTTTTCCAATGAGAATGAATTTTCACCTTTTAATAAAAGTTCAAGTTACATTGTTAAACTGTTTAGGAAGATTGTGAATAGAGCTATTATAGCATTGCACCTGCAAAGTGACTTAAAAACTAAAATATATGTTAATAATGCACACTTAAGTTTTCATTTCCGAGACTTTGTAGTATAAAAAGTAAGTATGGAGTATTATATTATTTAAAAGTATCCTATCCAACATACTTCTAGTGAAATTCAAGGTGCTGATGGATACCTTTAAAGCCTTTCTATTGCTTGGGGGCATCTATCCCCAGTAGTGTGTATCTGTCCTGTGAGATCCAGCAGAAGCAAAATGATCCAGGTCCCAACTATGAGAGAGTGCCATCTGGCAGAGCCCAGGAAGAGCCTTTTGTACCATGGTGCTTACAGTTACATTGAAGTAATCCGAAAGGTTCACATTAAAAGCGGTATCGAGTTTAAATAGCCAGTATGAATGTTTTATTTATAGCTACAGCATATACACTCAAAATGACTAAGCAGTAATTGCATTTAAGTTGAACTTCATCAGCCTGTGTATTACAGTGGATAAATTTAAACAATTACAAATGCTCAGGAATTTCGAGAAGATACCTGCAGTTGAAACTGAACTAGAGAAATCTGACATTGGGAGCAATGGGTAATGTATTTACACTTCAAACAAACAAAAAACAGAAGCTGAGTATTTCAAAGTACTTTGCAAAGCAGGACCAATAGTTTCTAAGTATACAGCCCTAAAATTTTGCACTTGTAAAGACTGCCTGCACTGCACCCAATGGGACTAGTAGCAAGAGGTGACATAAAAATACTTAAAAGTTCTTCAATGTCCTATGCAAAAAAAAACATGGCATCACTGTAAAACGCTCAGCTTCTTAATGCAAATGTTTTTCAGGATAATATCTGCCAATACATCCAGGGAACTGCTATTAAAAGGAGTTTCATTTACTTGCAATCTAATGATCACTAAGCCAAAAAGAGTAGTGTTCCTACCTGTTTTGTCCTATTTTAATATTTTATCAGCATTTCCTATATTATGTTCATTACTAGCAAAGAAAAACTTGACAGTCTTAGTGGTTTGAATTGCTTTCCAGCGGCCTAATAATACCTTTAAATATAGTGTGTTTTAAACTCAGTGGATTTAAAAATAACTTCAGTGACATGCAGTTGACTAATACAATTGATGCAGCGCCCACTTCAAAGACAATGTGTACAAAAATGCAACGACTTCATGATTGGAAAATTCAAGTTTTTCCATCCATTTTAAGTAAAACTATGAATATTATAGATTCTTTTAAAATAAGTGGTAATTAAATTAAACTTTACAGAGAAACACTCTGCAAGAAGCAAAAAATTAATTTCTTAGATGCTTGTGTGACAACTATCAAGTCCTAAATAGGATGGCTATTGGTGCAGAAAGTTTAAAAGGAATAACTTCAGTGAAAATAGCTTCAGAATTATAAATGCAATCAATCTATTGGTTATCCTTGCTTTGTTCTTTTCCCTGTAAAAGTAAAGTTAATCCCTCTGCACAACAGTTTCAAAGGAAAGGCAAGGATAATCCAACAAATTAATGCCTTTAAACTTTAAATGCCTTCAGCTATTTTAAGATAACAAATGTAAACTGATTACTAACTTCCAATCCTCATTCATTCAATCAAGAGGACAAAGACTGCACTAAATATCCTAGCAATATTGTAGGTGACTAAACTGCTCTGATCCCTCTATTTCTTTTCTACTCCTAATTTTCTCCCTTAGCAGAGTCCTCATAGATCATAAAATTGCCAATACAGATGAAACTATTACCCCCACCATGTTTAAAAATAAATCATGTGGAATCAGTCTGCATTCCCATTTTAAAAACAAACACAAAGATGAGGAAATTAAATGCTTCTGCTACAAACCTCTTAGATCCTCCCCCTGCATTCTGCCTCTTAGACATTCAAATATCACAACTGTTCTAGAACTAAAGGTTCCAAAGGAGAAATAAATGGTAAGCAGGTGAATCCCCACACATCCATTTTGCTTTTAAAAGGAAGTGAGCTCACTTCTTAAACATTTTTTTTAAAATTAAAACACTACAGCTGCTACTTGCTGAACTTCTACCTCTTGCAAGTAACGTCAAATACTTGGATTTTGCATGTGCTTGCTGTAGCACTTTGGCAACTCGTTACACCTTAATTACTCTAAATAAGTGCAAGTTGCTTCACAAACACCTTAACTACTGCTAACAGAATATACAACAATATGCTGGAGGAATGCAGCAATCTTCCTATTTTGTTTCTCACTTGTATTTTGTGGAATAAAACCTGTGGAACTGCTGCTGACATTTCTAGTTTGGCCCTGAATCTAGCAGCAATCATAATCAAGCTCAAGTAGGAAAAGTCATGGTAATGATAACCTGATTTAAAATTGGCCATGCATAATAAAGTCAGGATAACCTATACTAGTAATAAGTACACAAACACATATTTACAATTATTTCTTAGTACAGAATAGCATTAGCATCAAATAAGCAACTAAAAAATAAAAGCCTTGGGGGGGGGGGAACTAAGCTTAGTCAAATTCACGATTCGTTAGAACAAGTGGAGCCAACAGAGTCCACACATACAGAATGATACCAATCCAGCTGGAAGAAATCTTCACCCAGACAGAAGGCCATTTACTGGTCATTTGTGCAGAGGCAGGGTCAGGACTGAAAAAAATAAATGCAGAAAAGGTTTTTTAGATTCTCTTGTGCAAAGAAGGAAATCAGTTTTCTTAACAGAATTTACATAGGTTACAGATATTCCCCTCCATCTCTTGTCAGGGGTCAATCCACTTCCACTTTATTGATCCCCCACAACCAAACTACACAAGGTTCTCTGATTTTCCAGAGAGAGAGATTGGGGTGAGGCTGGGCAGCAGAGGAAATGGATGGAGGACAGGCTAGAATAGGAAGCACAAAACAATCTCTCTGCTTATTCTACATGCATAATTCTGGAGTCTAATATGTGATCTGCCTCATTTCAAGCTTCATAAATGAAAAGCACTTTCAAAACCAAGAGTAGTGGGGATATGTAAAATAAAATGTGTATGGCACAAAAAATGTTATCTTTCTGCAATTTTCCATAAACCGACTTACCTGTACCAATTAGTTAATGTCATCATGATATAAAGGGAAGCAAGAAAAAGCATGAAGTGAAAGAAAGAATAGCTGTAAGTAACTCCATCTTTCTCATTGTCAACAGCACGGTGTAAATCATCTCCATCATCTAGGGAGACTTCACTCCGAGGAAGTCCATCTTCTATCAGTGTTGTCTCATCACTAGTCAGAGTAAGTTTGTTTACTTGACTGTTATTAGATGTTCGGATACTGCAAATGGAAAAATGGGCAGTTATTAAATACTCAGCTAATGCAGAGTTTAATAGTTAGCTTTGTGGAAGAGTTTTCTTAAAGTTCCACTAACCTTGAATACAGAACACACAGTAAGAACAGGATGAGCCCCACAATTCCTTGGGCATCCCACCAATGTACCAGCTGACCCTTGCTTGGAGGGCTTGTGGTATTATATCCAATTATGTTCAGCAAACTTGGATTGCACTGTCTGTCTAGTTGAATATAAGAAATTGACATTCTAAATTATTAATCCAATATAAATTTCTCATTCAATTTGAATCAGTATTTAAAACAGTCATACTTCTTCATGTGAATAATGCACAAACAATATAGAGTCATGCTTTTGAACCTCCTTCTAAAGATGGACAATATGTAGATTTACATTATATATAAAGGAGGAGAATAAGAGAATGATGAGCTGTGGTGGCGCAGTGGTTAGAATGCAATATTGTAGGCTAATTCTGCCCACAGCCAGGAATTCAATCCTGACCAACTCAACGTTAACTCAGCCTTCCATCCTTCCTAGTTGATAAAATGAGGTAAAATAATTGTTGGGAACAATGTGCTGACATTTGTAAACCACTCAGAGAAAGCACTGTAAAGCACTATTAAGTGCTATTGCTATGAAGTACAAATTAAATTAATCTCTATTATGAAATCTGTCTAAAGCCAACTTCTCAGAAACATGTATAATACCTCAAGTATCTTTAAAAGCAATAAACAAAAAGCCCCTGCTAGAGTCATTTTATTCCAAAACTGTATAGAGAATATGTTTACCAAATTGTTTAGTCTTCTTACCTGGCTCATTGGTCATTGCTGCCCAAGTAAGGTACATTGTATAAACTGTGATCACAGATGATTGCAACAAGCCAGATCTTGGTTGTGATTCCTATATACAGAGAGAAAGAGACCAATTAGGACTTCGGGAAAAGATTGCTTTAAAAAAAATCAAACATTCACCAAGTATTTTTAAAAAAACTAAATCCATACCTGTATTTTGGGTAAAATTGACATTACAGATGCTCCAATACACAGCATCATGTTGACACTGATAAAGGCCTTATTTTCAGAACAGCCATCTGGATGTGTATAGTAGATATAAAATAAGACAACTGCCACCAGAGACAGGAGATAGTTTAGGGCTGTAGCAGACAGCAATGCTGTTTAAAACAAAACATAAAAGGGGATTCAGATTGTATTAGCATCTCTAAAAAATTCATGACTGGGCTGCTTTAAAAAGAAAAGCGAAACTACACTACTATTATAACTGATGAATTCACAAGAAAATCTGGTGCCTTCACATTTTTCCCATAATGATTGGGAATTTTAAGCATAATACAGCTTAGAAGACACCAGGCTGAAGAATGCTAGTCTGGAATGGTTAGCAAAATGATATCTGATCTTCATGATTAGTAATGTATATATTCAGCATGTGGCCTTTTGTAAAATTTGCAGGAGGAGAAAATTCATACATGACAACTGGTACGTGGGAGGAAATCTCTTATACTATTTGGGCTAAAATGCATTCCTACCATTTTCCTGTATCAGGTATCATGAGGCTTGTGAAAAATGCAAAATCCTTATTTTGGATTGGTGATGGGTGGATGTTATTATTTTGCAGGTAACTGGGATACGAAAGTAGAGTCAGCTTGGGGTAGGGAGCCAAGGCTAGAAACCAGGAGACCATGAGTTCTGGTTTAACTTAGGCACAAATCTAGCTGGGTGACCTTGGGCCAGTTAACTCTTTCATCCCTAGGAAGCAGAAAAAGGGAAAAGCACTTCTGACATTTTGCCAAGAAAACTGCAGGAATGTGTCCAGACCCAAAGGAACAAACCAAAACAATAATATGAAAACCAAGAGCACACTTTTCTGACCAATAAAGGAGAATATTTGTAGCTAAGACCAATAATCAAGTAAGCAATACCCCAATCAAGAAACTGCCAAAGAGCCATCAGTAAACAGTCCAACCAAAGAATCTCTAAACCATCCCAACTCACAGGCAAGATAACAAAATATAAACTGACAGCAAACAGCACTCCTTACTAGCACTGATGATGTTACCTACTTAAGGTTGTGAATTACCAAATTAGGGTTGTACTAGGTTAGAGAAATGAAATGTCTACAAGAAAACAAGCAAGTTCAGATAGCACCCCTCACACTTTATTGAGCTCATAACTCCTAAAATTAAGATTATGGCATCTTACATTTCAGTTTTGAGACCAAAGAAACCAATCCTGTCATATTTAACAACAAACTGTTCCATACCTGCATACCAGCATCTTGAATTTCCTTCCTCCATTTTCTCAACCCACGATTCATTCCAAGAGTGGGCAAAATCAATAAGTAAAACCAGCTGAATAAGAATGAAGCAGAAGGCTCCGGCCATACCTACATAAAACCATACTAAAAATAATAATAAAGAATATTAATTTTACATTAGGATTATTTTTAGTATCAAAACATTATTATTGTCTAATTCAGAGCAATCACTGTCTAATTCAGAGCAATCAATGTACCTTAAGTCTGTAGACTTAAGAAGCTAAGAAATAGTTAAGTATACCCTTCATGGACCTTAGGGAAAACACAAACTGAAACAGGAGGAAGAGGGTTAAGAGAGAGACCAAGATAGTAGGAGACATACCGGAAAAAAACAGACATGTTTTTAAGTAGCTTAATTAGGAATGAGAAACAGGGTTCAGCCAAATGGTCCATTCATTCATCAACAAAACAGTTCAGAATAGAACAATGATTAAATAAGGTTTCTATATCTAAGAAAGCCTCAGGAAACACTTTTGCAGAAAAGATTAAAGATGTAACCTTACCAGTTGTAAAAGGTCCTTCTGGAATAAAAAATGCTCCCACAGTAATTGCAACTGCTGTGATAAACTTGAAAAACCAGAATCTGAAAGAATCATCATATCCAATATAAGTGACAGTAATACTTAATATTTTTAAATGCATAATATCCAAGAAATATTTAGGTTATCAATTCCATTATATTTGATACAACAGCAACAACATTACTTATACAGGGTAGAAAATGCTATAAGACTATAACCAACCACATGTAAATTCAGTAGCCAGCAGTATAGTGGATAAAGTCTAACTTTTATAATGTATTCCTCCAAGGAGTTGAGCTCCAGAACAGAATTTTCCAAATAAAAAGACATTATATACTATTCCCTGTCGTATCCATGGTTTCAAAGTTACAGAGTCGTGGTAAAGAAAAATCACAACTGTGGGTTTTCTATAAAAGAAACTTATCTAAACAATCATAGCCCTAGAGAAAATGCTTACATCAACAAGGTACAGGATATATAATGTAAAATCTACTCTTTTATTAGATTTATCCTGACTTTTATAAAGCATATCAAAGTGGTATACATTGCCTTCCCTCCTCCAATTTTTCCTGCAACCACCATCCAGCCACTCTGTGTTTTGGGTTAGACTGAAAGAAAGTGTGACTGATCCAATGTATACAACAAAGAGTGAGCTACATTGAATGCTACAGTTAAGCTAGGCCCAGCACTAAAGATTTGGCTGGTTATTGGAAACAAGCATTCAGTGCTGTGAAAATACAAGAATTACCATTCAAGTTCAGATTAAGTGACTTGGTTTTACTGTCCCCATGATAGATGAATAGATGCATGCAAACAATCAATTCTTTTTGGATAGCAGATGCATCTTCCGACAGATCAGAGAAAGCATAGCAATAGCCTACTGAAATTACTTGTTTATTTTTCAGCTGCGGGGAGACAGGGAAAGACATACGAGAAGGTTCTTTTCTGTTATATCCATTTTTTACTTTGTTCCTTTAATCTGAGAATTGTACTAGCAAATTTAAATGTTATAATTTTGGTCTGTTTTCAAAGATTTTGAAATTGGGGATTGAATGATTCCCATTGCTATTTCTCATGCACTCCCCTCATCTTTTTTTTTCTTTAGGTTCTAGGGAGCTGCCTGGCCTAGAAAATTACTTATCCTGGTATAGACTGATAGCAATTCCTTTCCTTTGTCTCAAGAAGTTTAAATTTACAGAAACACTTAATGATCCATGCATTCGTGCAGTCATAATACATAACCATAATTCAGTAAGTGAAAACATAGGTTTTCTGTATTTTGAAAATTACATAATTGTTGAGTTCTAGTTTTTTAGACAGATTTTAAAAATTAATCAATTACAGAGCAATAATATTATTAAGTAATTTCACCTGACCATTTTATTCACTGAATTTATAGAGCAAAACGATTAACACTATTGGAAGTGTTTTGCTTCTACCACATTTATGTTGGATCATTATTGTAGGAACATGTTATAATCTCTAATTGTTTTAAATCTGTGACTATATGTGTCAAGTTATGACATGGCAGTTCTGTCCAACATCATACAATCCATTTGTGTTGGGATTGCAATTCTCAAAATTTCCAATCACCATGATTCTGGAATGTACAGTACTTGGAAAGTACCAAGTGAAACAGAGAGAGTACAAATTAGACAAGTAATTATTTCTTTCTTACCCATTGTGGACTGATGCCCTTGGATCACTGCTGCTCTTTACCTTGATCATCAACAGGGAAAACAAGAGGAAGAACATGGCCAAACCAAAGCATACACGATACACTGCTTTATACCCTACCAGAACATCACAATTCACCTGGCCATCACAGAACCCAGGTATCTGTAATGAAGAAGCATAAAAAGTATTAAAATGAATTCACAGAAAATGTGAAATGTCTGCTTTGTAATAAGAAAGTCTCAATGACTGTTTTCTGTTTCCTCTAAAGAAACTGGAGATCTTCCAACATGAATAGATTCATTCCACAAATTTTATAATATTAAAACTGCACATCAAATAAATAACTGTTCTGTTTTCTAAAGCCATGTATAAGCACACATTTGCAATCAGGCTTTGAAAATCACAACATTTCCAGGAATTGAGTGCTTTCTTCAGCAGGGCTGTGATACTACCTCTTTCCCATTTTAAGATTTCCTGTTTAGCTTGAGCTTCTCCTTATCACTCTAAACGTAAGCTTTCTTCTCCTAAACATAACATAAGCATTATGGCCTTTATTATACTACTAAAGATATGGCTCAGGTTTGATCAATAATATATCATACTACTTAGAGCAAGAATTCTTCACAAGAAATAGACCCAAGACACCAGGGTTTATACCAAAATAATTTTAGCAGACTTGTTTCAGTAATGAACTGACCTTTTTCAGTTGTTCTTCCATTCCTGGCATTAACATCACACAGGCAACACTGACTCCAAGAAGCAAGAAGAATGCATATATCAATCTTGTTATAGTGGAGTTATTTCCACTGGGACAACATCCACACAACAGGCAGGGGGCACTACCACACAAACATGGTATCTGATAAAAGAAAAAAGGAAGAAGACTTGCTGATTTCACAATATTTGAAAATAATTAACTATAATTTGTGACCAGCGATCTTAAATCAGTCTTTCCCATCTACAACTATCTGGATGTGCTTCACAATATGGTAACTGAGAGTAATGGGAGTTGTGATCCAATATATCTGATAGGCACCTTATTGTGCAGTTATCCTAAGATATTTCAGTTTGTTCCTAGAAGAACTATGTTTATGTACTAGAAATATGAAATTTGAGCAGGTGTTTATTGGGCTCTTTGAGCATTAAGTCACAAGCAAGAAACAGCAGAGTTGATGTTGCAATATTAGTTCTTATGTGTTTCTATGCCTGCCAATTCACAGGGAAGGGAGTACTCACAAAAAGCTCTTAAAAGTTCTCCTCACTAAGAGTACCCACCAGAGTCAACAAAAAGCAGAATCTCAACTAGAGAGCAAGTACCATTTTCATGCGGTGAATGTTGGATTGCTTCAACATGGAAATTATAGATTGCTCAGAGTGGATTGTAAAATAAATATTAATGATATGTATATTTTATGCTGGGTTTGAAAAAAATAATCGGATTTACAAATTTTACATGTTGAAAAGAGTCTTTGGAGGGAAATCCTTAGGAAGCCTTGGTAATGTTTATTTTGACTTAAATCTAATTCAACTCAAATAATCCTGTTTGCATGCCAGGTATAGCCTGTTTTCTATCTTTTACTCCATGAAACTATTACCGGTAGTCCTCAAGTTACAACAGATCATTTAGTGACCGTTCAAAGTTACAACGGCATTGAAAAAAGTGACTTATGATCATTTTTCACACTTACAATCACTTCAGTATCCCCATGGTGACATGATAAAAATTCAAATGCTTGACAACTGACTCATATTTTTGATGCTTGCAATGTCCCAGGATCATGTGATCACTTTTGTGGGCCTTTTAACAAGCAAAGTCAAAGGGGAAACCAAATTCACTTAACAACCATATTACTAATTTAACTGCAGTGTTTCTCTTAACAACTGCAGAAAGAAAGGTCATAAAATGGGGTAACATTCACTTAATAAATGTTTTGCTTAGCAACATACATTTTGCGCTCAATAGTGGTCGTAAATCGAGGACTACCTGTACTTCAATATTTGAATACAACTAGATACTATGTCTATAGTAAACATATTTGAGAGAATTTTCTGTCTAAGAAAAGCCCTCATTCTAACACAAGCAATTTTCCAGATGTGAACAAAAACTGAAGGAACATTCTATTAAATTTCCCAATCTTATCCTTTTATGTTAACTTCAGAAAACAAGAATATATTATAACACAGTTTAGGCAAACAATTACTGTCCTAGGTTATGTTCCTTCCCTCAATACCACAAATTGTCTATATTTAACTTTAAGATATAAATGGATGGCTCTATACTTAGTCTTTATCAAAAGTTATTGATTTAACTTCTCATCCCAACCTTCGTGCACATACAGTATTAGGGTGTGATCATGATGGGATATTTAAACTACTACAGAGTTGGGATTGAGCTGGATGTCCACTAAAGAGTCATTCCACATCTGACATCCAAATGTTAATCAACAAAGAGTAGGAAATGGCCAGAGATTATCCTGAGAACAGGCAAGTCCTTTTCCCCCCCTTTTTCTAAAGAGAAGGCCTGCCTACAATAATCCTATCACATCTGACAATAGAGTATGTTGCCAAACTATATTTGGGACCAAAAAAATAATAATTCAACTTTTAACAGACCGCAAGCCTTTCCATACATAGTCTCCACATCAATTCAAAAACAATTCTAGATCTCTTTGAGCCAAAGTGCTGCAATGATTTATTCCATCGCTTAACTGTGATATCTTCAAAGCAGTACAAACTCCTTTGCTGCTCCCTATAGAGCCAGTGTGTAATCTGTTCTCTGCAGGAACACAGGCTTCGTCCCACCTCCCAGCCTTCAAGCTTCAGATCTTCCAAGGGAATCTGACATAATTTCTTGTTCAGTTCCCCTTCCAAGAAACTGTTGGATTTTTATTTATTTTTGTGAATAAAATCAATATACATTTTTGTGTGTATAACCAGACAAATGCATACAGTACAAAGGCATGCAGTAAGAAATAAATTAGTGGCTGGAAAATCTAACAATTTCTCTTTAGTGAAGTGTAGGGATAAGAGGATTCTTGTGATGGAAAGACCTAAGGAAGTCAAGGATTATAGTGATTTTTACTCCTTGTTCTTTGCATTCTGATGAGAGTCGATTAAAAGAGGAAAATGTAACTGCTTTTATATGGCTTCTAAAGGATATGGGAATGGCACAGAAAATGGAAGCAGCTTGAAGATCCTGACTACAGCATTTTCTTAAAAATATCATACTAGGATGTGCGAATTGCGTACATCTGTCAGGAACGATTTCAACCGATCAGTAAATTTGTACACTGAATTTTTAAAGCGTTTTTAAAGGTCTTTTAGGATTTTTCTCCCCTCACTCTAGCCACACCATCAGAAAAGTAAAAAATAATAATAATCGGTATTTCGGGCGGACGGGCAAGCAGGAACAAATAAAACCCACAGCGTATCTCGTTCACAACAAAGCCCGGCAGAAAGGAATGCCAAGGTACCGCAGAGGCGGAAGAAGCGGACTGCGCCCACCTTTTCCATTACTAGACTTTTATTATGACATTAGCCAGGCATGAAGAACGCTATTAAGTTCTAACTTGACAAGAGATGGAATGCCCCCAAAACGAGAGAACCCAATAACGAAGAAACGCCAAAAGAGCTTGTTTTATTTTAACAAAGAAGGGAGGGTGCCCGAGAGTGAAGGGGGGAGAGGGGCAGAGAGAACCCAGCCCCGCAGCGCGCCTGCGCCTCCAGAGAGCCCGCGCCCCGAGATCTACCGACCCCGGGAAAGAGAGGACGGAGGGGAAAAGTGGGGGGTATAACCCAACACTTCCTTACCCAGCTGGACAAGGAACACAAGCCCAGAACCGCCCCCATCTTGCTCCTCGCAGTGCGACGGCCCTTCAAAGATGGAGACGGCGAGACGGATCAGCTGGGGCTTGTTTACTCTCCAGCCCGTCTTTCTAGCAGCAGCGATCGCGGCTGAGCGTCATTTCCAGGTCGACGGAGAAAGAAACGCCCTGTCGCCGCCTCCTCGGGCTCGGAGTCAATGTCTGAACTGACAGAAAGACAGAGAGAGGAATTGATCTTCCGGGTTCTTGTTAACCGGGTCCCAACCCCTCCACCCCGTCCTTTTCCGCACCATCACTCCTTCCCGGAAGAAGTGGAAGCTGTTTGTCTGTAGGAAAACGATACAGAAATGCAGCAATAGCAGCAACAGCAGCCGGTCTCGGATAAAAGCAAAAAGCGATAATCCCCACGGCCGCCAAGAGGATTATTAAGTGCTGGAACAAGATTATAATGGGGCCCCTCATTACACGTGGACACATAAATCAATAATATAATTGTACATTTACAATGTTCAGCGTTTTTGAGCTCCAGATTTTTGAGATGACATTTCATAACCATAAACTGAAATGAAATATAATATATATTCATAAACGAAATGAAACAAAACTTGCAAACTTAAATAAGTAATGAAATTAAAATTCAATAAATTACATAAATAACTGTTCACTGAGTTTCAGATTAATAAAGATGATGTCAAACAAGGCTGCAAGGTGGTTCTGCTATACACACAAAAGTATAGAGTTTGAAGTATATATTCAAAATTGTTTTTCTTTCTAAAAATTTGGTTTTCTAAAAAAAAAATTTTTAATCCCCTTCATGGGCTCCTTTGAGTTCTATGGGCCCCAGAACAATGTACTGGCTGCACACACACACACTTTCCTCAGGCCTGATAATCCCCTTAACAAGGCATGAAAAACAAACGCAGTTGAAAACCCGCATTGGGAGTATGAGGCATTTGATAGAAATGTCTGGATGTTCATCCGTTGGTGCAAATCGAAGGAGCTTTGTGCGATGTGCTTTTGGCTAGCCATCTATTCTCTAACCTGATCTGTAGTACTGTACTGTAGTAGCTTGCCCAACAGAATAAAGGCAGGCTATCCAGTTACTTCCAAAATTGCATATGGATAAGAAC